CTGCTGAGGAACTTTCTCTGAATCCTTTTTGGAAGTTAGGCATCTAAATGTCTTTTTGCAAGCTTGGAGATCAGCCTAAATTTTCCATGTATAACGTAACGTTAAAGGCCTTCAGGCTATACTATGTGTTAGTAAATAAAGCTGTCCAGGACTGTTTTTTCTTACAGTTGACAAACGGGTGTGGCATGACCCACATCTATACAGCTAAATTTTCCTGCCAAAGGAAGTTGCCACATCCAGACTATTTGGTGTGAATGGTCCTTGGCTCTTGATAATGCTTAAGCCATGTCACAACATTGTCTGGGAGAGCAAGAGCTAGCACAGGCCAATACTCTGCCAAAGATGCTGCTGGTAATGTAGCAATACAGACAGTGCCTGACCTATGCCCTGGTCCTGTTTCGTTTACTGTTATAAAATAATGAGGATATGTAAAATAAATGAGGAGACATCCTGAAACAGAGAGAAGTAGTTTGGAATCTGAGATCAGTTGTAAGCTCATGGCAATGTTTACAGTTTATGTGACATACAACAGAAATTTCATATAAATATTTGTTAATATTGCCTAGATTAGAAGAGTGAAGTGCCAGGAAATCACTCAACGGCTTCTGCAAAATAACTAAAAATGTTGCTAAGTACTTCCACGGGGCAGCTATCTTGAGATTGAGACAGCATTCCTTCTAATGGAGACTGTAAAATCCAGACTTCAGCCAGGAATTCCTCTAGGAAGGAGCAGGCAATCCAAGGAGAATAGGATGGAAGTTTTGTGACAGCTCCCACTACTGTGACTCTTGCAGAGCAAAATCTGAAACTGGACAGAATATTGAAGAGTCTAGACCAGGGAATAAGTCATGCCCAGGCAAGAAGCAGCTTGGTGTCCTGTGATAGATCTCCACTAACTTTAATCTTTTTCAAATAATATGCCAAAATATGGCTACCCCGTGCAAAACTTGGGTAGTAGAAACTACCCTACTGACAGGGTGAAATCTAGAACTCTTTATAAAAAATAAAATTAAAAAAGCTCAAATTGTGTATATTCTGCAAAGCAATGCACATCACCTGACTTAAGTACACTGGTAATTTTTGAAACATTGGTCTTCTCTGGAGGTCAGCATTTGCTTACTTGCTTGCTGTTTATCAGTGATTGTTAACTTAGGCCATTTGTTATTATTTTTTAATGTCATCAGTGATGCATCTTGGCTACTCTGTTGTTCCTAACTATTGCTAAATTTCTGGTTTAGGCTTGTGGTTATTTCAGAGTAACAAGCCTGTAGTAATTTGAATGCTGTGTTCACTCCTAAAGATTTGCTTTTTCCACAGAGATTTACTTTTTTTCTAGAAAGCACTGTCAGTGTTCAGAGTATGGTAGCACTTGTGTGGTGCTGACTGTGACTTAATGGCCAGTGTTTACTAGGACATGTGACATTTAATGTGTCAAGTAAGTCAGCGTTAAGACTGCAGATGTCAGGGCTTAGTCTTGAGTAGCTGACAAAACCAGTGAGCCCAGCTTGCCTAGTCTCTACTGATAGGAGTCTCTTCAGCACTGAATAGGGTAATTGCACAACCACATGGGTTCAGTACTTTTTTTCCTTTCAAAACATCAAAAAAAAAAAGCACTCAAACTCCTGCAGAAAGAGTTTCATTTTCTTACCCAGGCGTCTCCCTAGAGCTGCAAGTTGAGGCTGCTTCTGTTTGTTGCAAGACACTAAACAAGTAGAAGCTGACAAGAAGATGGAGCTTCTTGCTTTGACACTTTTGGTGCTTGTAGGACTTGCTTGTATCAAAATATGAGTGTAACCATATAGTGGTTTGTCAGTATTGTGTGTTCCCAGGATGGCATCCTGGGGCATAAAGTCTGAGCCTCTAAATGCTGTTTAGAAAGCTCATCTAGCCTACAGAGGGTCAGAAGGTACTTCCATTTTTCAAGTTTGTTCCCCAGTGCATGTAGTGAGCTGTTGCAATATTTGGCCTCTCAAATGTTTTTTCATTCATGCTTAGTTTCTCAAGTTTTATTGAAAATAGTACTGTAATCTTTTATAACAAGAACAGAATGAGAACACTAGCTGGAAGTTTTGTGAAGCCTTACTAAATATGAAGCAGTTATCTTGCTTTAAAACATAAAATCCATGGGATATTTCAGAGCAACAATAAGAGAAGTCTGCAGTCAGCGCTGTTCTGTGGGAGGGAATATTGAAAGCTTTTTTTTTTTTGTGACTGCCATGCTGTCCAGACTTTATCAAGAATGTAATAGAGGATAAAATAGAACATTTGGCCCAACATCACTGTTCTGTAGGGAGTAACTGTCTGACATTGAAAATCACTGAATATGAGAAAAGAACTAAGGAGAGAGTTGTTTAGCCAACCAGGTCAAATAAGCAGTAGTTGAGACCAAAAAAAATTTCACCCTTGTATCATCACAGAATTTGGCTGACAGGAATACCAAGCGTTCACCTTTTTACAAACTGAATGTGTTCAATCTCTTGGTTCAAAGTAAATAATCTCTTGAAAAAACAATCTCTTTAATTTGAAGAAATTATAGCCTATGCAAACATGACCATTGTTGCTTTGTATTATTGTAAAGGGTTTATTAAGAGAAATTGCGAGGTATGAAGAGAAATTGGGAGGAGGAAACTACATTGTATTTTCTAGCTACCACCTGCACATGGGAAAGGTAGCCACATGGATAACTTTGCAGAAATCATGCACAGATTATTTAGTGCTGTAAAATTTATCCCACAAGCTAAGAAAAAACAAGCAGGGAGCTCTATATATGTACACAAAATCTGCTTCCTGTTTGCTTTGGGAGTCCATCAGGCTGTCAGTGTGCTTTCCCGGTGCATTCTGCTCAGAATCAGTCATTGAATAAACTCTTAAACCCCTGATCTTACCCAGTGCCTACTGAAATGTGAACTCTTTTGGTTCTGAATCAGCCTTAGAGAGCAGCAGGCTTACCAAGTGACAGATGATGGCATGTAAACCAATTACATTGTCTGTCCTGTCCCCTAGGAAAACAAACATGCTTTCTATTCTGTCCTTCCAAAAAGCTTTTCTGTTGTAGCAGGTTGATGGTAAGATGTGTGTGTCCCCAGTTAAGTGTTTTCACCACTTAAATATGCCTACTGATAGCTTTCAGAATTTAAGTATTCATGTTCTAGGGACTTTAGTACTGCACGCAATTAAACTGTGAAAAAATAATGTTATCCGGTACCATTATGTACACTTTAAGTATACCTTAATGTATGTTTGAATTTAAACACCTTGCTTTCTCCAAAGTGCCAGCACATAACCTGAGGAAACTTTTTTCCCCTCTAAGATATTGATACAAATCTGTACAGGTGACTTTGGGAGTCATATCCTCTAGAAATTTTTCTACCTCCCATTTCCCCAGATAGTAATATTTAAAGCCACCTGACTTTTTTTTTTTTTTTTGTCCTGATTGCTTTAAATGCTTACAGTGCTATTTTCTTGACAATTTTTTTAGAGACCGCTAACATTTGGTGGTCTCTTTGAAGTTGGTTGTTGTTAATGAGCGAATAAAAATTGCTCGTCATAACCACATCTTAGTAGTCTGAGGTTTGCTTTAAATACTTGGCGCTCTGTTCTGCCTGAGTGCATGCTGCAGCCTCTCTCAGTGTTCCAGGAGAGGACAAAGCATCACTCTGTCCTACATCCCTGAGAATGTTTCATACATGCAGAGTTCTGGTTAGCAAAATGCCTAAGGATATGTTTACTGGAGACACGTCCAAGAGGAAGACGACCTTCAAAGAACTGATACTTTGCCAGAGGCTCTGTAAGCACATCTTTTTCCGTTCCTGTAATATTGAGCTTGTGCCTCAGGTGTTTCTCCTTGGCCCATTTTTCTAGAATGGTGAGGAAAAGATAGTTGGGCTAGAGAGGACTTTTATATTTATGTGACTTTTCTAATGTTCTCCTGTTTTTAGGTCTATGGACCTGGAACTCAGACGAGAGCTTTCCAGTATGTCAGGTAAGCCTTGTTTGTACTCTCTGATATTTACTTCACTTGACGGGTCTTTGAGCTTGCCCAGCTTTGTATGCACGTTCATTTTAGTCAAAGAAATTATATTCATCTGTAGGCCAGCTTTACTTTCAGAAGGGAGACACTGAAGTTTTTAAAAGTACCAGGAAAGAAAACGTTAGTTGGTTTAGAATTTTGAATTGAGATATTAAGGTGTTCTTCCCTTCAAGGGACAGCAAGTAGCAGGGAGGTAAGTTTTAATGCTGAGCAGTTTTCCAGTCCTTGCATTTTAATGCAATGCTGCCACCTTGTGCCTGTGGGGTTGCTGTGGTCAGTGCATGTACTGGGGGAAGGAACCGGTTGAGGGGGTATTGCTGTAGCTGATATTTGCAGTGTAAGCAAGGCCAGAATGTACTTTCACTAAGAAAAAGTGAGTCTGTTCTTCAGCATACTTTGTTCTGTCCTGCTAGCTGAACTTCCGTGCCAGGCTTCTGGGTTGTTTTAATCATTCTCTGCTTGAAAATGTTCTTTCCCTCTGGTGAAAATAATAACAGCAGTGATTGATAGATGCTATGGAAAACCCATCGGTTCAAAGTAGCCACTCCTTTCCTGATTATAAGTCATAATGAAAGGGATCTGGATTTCTGTGTCCAGGGATGAGCGGATAAGCTTGTTGCTGATAACCCAAAATAACTTTGGGTTATTTTGATGGGGGAAAGTAACACCAAAATACTGGTTTTTAACAAACTTGGCTTAAGAATTTCTGAAAGCGAGAAGACAATTCAAACAGCAAATTGCAAAGCAGGTGGTGGTGTCATGTGCCTCTGTCTTACAACTTACTCCGTTCTGTTTGAAATACGTTGGAAATGAGTCTCTAAATATGCTTGGATACTAGAGGGAAGAGGAAGTAGTAATTGTTGTTTAGTAACTTGGTATTTTTTTATATTCTTTCATATGCTCAGATGAACTATAGCCAGTGTATCCCAAAGATAATCACCCTTTCAAACTAATCTCCAGTTCAGTATATCTTACAATAGGGACTATGGAACAAAGAGCTGAGAAAATGTGCACCCATCGAAGTATACACTGTAGATCTGATTTCAGCATTCCTCACTCAGCTGCTTGATCTGCTTTACTGGAGCTCTGAGGAGGCAGCTCTCGTTTTAGACAAGAATATTATTTATAGGGAAGTGGAAATTGCCTCAATCTGTTCTTCCCTTTTTACAGTGATCTTGTGAATGGGTTGGTGGCGTTGATGAACAGCAATGTCAGCAGTCCTGTCAACTTGGTGAGTATGACAGGTCCACTCTACTGTGTTTACTGTGCAGTGGCCAACATCACCTCTATGTTCCTCCTTATCACTGGTGCTGATTTTGAGAAGAAATAAATGAAGCAAAAAAGCTTTTTCTGTTATGAATAATGTATTCTTCCATGTGTTCTCTTTATAAATAAGATTAAGCCCCTAGATGTTGAGATCTTACAGTTCCAAGAACAGGATGAATTTGCTAGAGTTTTTCATTTGTTTTAGCAAAAAGATTTATGTAATTAGAATATGAAAAAAAAACTGAACAAAATATGGGGGGGCGATGCGCAAAATACACCGAGGAAATTATTGAAGACTGATTTTAATGCAAAAAAGCACTGAAGAAATACTTAGCTCTAAATAATTAGAAATCACTTCATACTAATGGGATAGCATTTGATTGTATAATTTTCTAATATTGATTAAGGCTGCTTAGAACGTAACTTTTCTAATAGAATTTTGTTCTGTCCCATTTGTTGTTGCCTTATTCTCAGCAGTGGATATAAGAATAGAAAAAGGATGCATATGCCAGGTCATTTCTGTGTGTGCCAACTTTTGCCAGATCAGGTATTCAACTCTACAGGGCAGTGGCTGACTGACTAGATTTTCCTTTTTTACTGTGGCCATAAATTCAATTCTATGTTTCTATCCAAATGCTGATATTTTTAAACCTCATCGCATGTTTTGTCTCCAGAAAACTCAATGTTAAAATCTATATGTACCTAAATGTTCAGCTTTAGGTCAAATGATGTAATAAGAAGAGTTTTGCAACAAGGAAAGCTAGGGATGAAGGGAAATTGAGTCTGATGAAGGTGGGCTAATGCTAACAGGAAGCTTTCAGCATTTTGTTCTGAAATGTTGATCAGGAGTTCATGTGCAAGTTGGTTAAAAAAACGAGAGTTAAGAAAAGGAGTATGGTATAGAAAAGCAAGTAACCTTTATACATATTGATATGTAAGATGTAGTAAATGCAGAAGCAATTGTTTGCAGCTAAATTGGTTGGTTTTTGTAATTCTGGATGAACTGAGAATTTAGCATACTTTATTATATCATCTGTCCTCAACTCAGCAAAGTCCTTGAATCTAGATTTCAAACTGATGATGTGTTTGTGTGGACTGCTGAGTGGTCTATGCCTTTACTGTGATTGAGGTGCATTTGCCCAGTCTTTACAGACTAATTTTTCTGGGCACCCCCCTACATACATTGAATTACCAAGGCAAATGTAACAGAGGGCAATTTTTCTAATGAGTATGGAGCTTGTCGAAGTTACATTTTTTTCATTAAAGTAGGAATAAGGCCTAATGTTTAGCTGCTTTAGAGTTTAACGTGACCCTGTTAGAATTGTCTCATGTCGGAAAGCTAACATGTCTTAAGGTGTTTAATTGCTATTGTAATGAATGTCCCTTCTATTTCTAGGGAAACCCAGAAGAGCACACTATACTAGAATTTGCACAGTTAATTAAAAAACTTGTTGGTGAGTATGATAAGTAATTCTTAGTAAAGCTTATGAAGTACTTATTGTCATTAGATGATTATTACTTGATTAGTGTGTGTAATATATGGATAATTTAATTGGTCTTTGGATTTCTTAATAACTTTTATCAAAGGCATTTAATTGTATCCTGATCATATAATTAAATATTAATAAGATAATCAGAATTCTCTCAATTGTATGCAAAGTATTGCATGAACAGTAGAATGAATACATTCTTTCTGTGTATCTGTGTGATCTATACCAATTATTTTGTATAATGTTTATGCATTTTTTTAGCTTTGTTTTGGCACAAGAACAATGCATAAATGAAATGTAAAACACATGAATGAAAATGTCTTGCATAACATCTTAGCTGAAATATGGATACTTCAGCAAGAGGGTTCTTCACAATTATGCAGGCTGTTCTCCTTCAGCTACCATTAAAAACCTCATGCTGTGGTGACAGTCTTTCTCTACTTTTCACTGATCTCCCAGTGACTCTTGCAAAGGCTGTCAGCACCTCCCTTGTATGTGGCTGGGAAGAAAACACTGTGTCTTTCTCTTCATTCTTGCTCTGATACCTGTAGCAAATCAGAGCTCTCAAGAATGGAAGCGAAGGACTGTGCTTAGTCTTCTAGGGCGACTTCCTAATGAGATGAAACATACTGATGCCATTAGCCAAGGGTTTTTAGTCTGCAGATTCCAGCAGTGCTTCTAAGGGATCTGAAAAAGACAAGTTCAAGTACCCAGTAGAGAAGCTGATGCATGTGGTATTTCTAATAGAGGACTGTCCCCTCTGGAAAACATCTATGGATCCACAGATCAGGGAAAGAAATTGAAAACCACAGCACCAAACCCATCAGATGCATAGAATAATTGTTACCTCCATTTGTCTGTTTATTCACAAACAACTTGATCTGTTTCAGTTTGCCCGGAGAGGCAGTTTAGTTCTGCATCCATAAAATCCCACAGTAACATGGCATGTAAACTATTTGCTAGATTTGGTTAGAGAAATTGTCCTGTTTCTGTGTATTGTCATGAGGAAAGGCAAGTACTATGTTAGCTATTTAAATCCCACTGGAGAGTATGGGCAAAGACGAAAAGAAGTCCTTTTACAGTGCGAAAGTGCTAACAGAATCACAGAATGGTTGAGGTTGGCAGGCACCTCTGGAGGTCATTTGGTCCAAACCTTGTGCTCAGGCAGGGCCACCTACAGCCAGCAGTGGCCCAAGACCATGTCCAGACAGCTTTTGAGTATCTCCAAGGATGGAGACTCCACAGCCTCACTGCGCAACCTTTGCCAGTGCTGGATCACCCTCACAGTAAAATATTGTTTCCTGATGTTCAGAGGGAACCTCCTGTGTTTCAGTTTGTGTCCATTGCCTCTGATCCTGTCAATGTGCACCACTGAAAAGAGCCTGGCGCTCTCTTCTTTGCTCCTCCCATCAGGAATTTATACACATGGATAAAATCCCCCCGAGCCTTCTCTTCTCCAGACTGAACAGTCCCAGCTCTCTCAACCTGTCCTCATAGGTTGAGACAGGAGAGATGCTCCAGTCCCTTCATCATCTCAGTAGCCGTTCACTGTACTCTCTGCAGTGTGTCCATGTCTCTCTTGTACTGGGGAGCCCAGAACTGAACCCAGTCCTCCAGGTGTGGCCTCACCAGTGCTGAGTAGAGGGGGAAGATCATCTCCCTCGACCTGCGGGCAGCACTCCTCCTACTGCAGCCCAGGATACCATTTGCCTTCTTTGGGGCAAGGGCACATTGCTGGCTCATATTCAACTTGGTGTCCACCAGGACACCCAAGTCCTTTCCTGACAAGCTGCTTTCCAGCTCGTTGGCTCCCAGCATGTAGTGGTGCCTTGGGGTTGTTCCTCCCAGGTGCAGGACTTTGAACTTCTCCTTGTTGAACTTCATGAGGTTGCTGTCAGCCCTTTTCTCCAGCCTCCTTTCTCGAAGTCCCTCTGGATGGCAGCACAGCCCTCTGGTGTATCAGCAACTTGGTATTGACTCAGTATTGACCCCTGGGGTACACCACTAGTTACCAGCTCCAACTAAACTTCGTGTCACTGACCACCACCCTCTGGGCCTGGCCACGCAGCCAGTTTTCAATCCACCTCACTGTCTGCTCATCCAGTCCTCAGTAAGGATGTTATAGGAGACCGTCTCAAAAGCCTCACTGAAGTCAAGGTAGATGATATCCACGGCTCTGCCCTTGGCTACTGAGGCAGTCATTTCATCACATAAGTTTATTAGACTGGTCAAGCATAACTTCCTTTTTGTGAATCTGTGCTGAAAGCTTTGTGAAATGCTTTGTGAATCCATGTTGCTGTGGGACAGCTGGTTCGCCCAGCTGTTGCATGCAGTGTAGCTGTGTCTGTGGAAAGAGTTTCAGTGGTAGAATTATGAAGCAGAAAGCTGCAGAAAGACTTGATGCTCTAATAGATAGGAAAGATGTAAATGCAAAGCATAGTGAATTGCAGATGATAATGCACAGTGTCTTGTTTAATAGGCAGTGGGAGTGAAATCCAGTTTCTCTCAGAAGCACAGGATGACCCTCAGAAACGAAAACCTGACATCAGAAAAGCCAAGTTATTGCTTGGCTGGGAACCTGTGGTACGTACAACTGTATTACTGTTGTTGTGTGCAAAAACACAGGGAGGCAGAGAGGGATGGGGGAGGACCACACGATAACGATATGTTTCAGTTATCAGAACAACTGCTTAACATAGTCTCCAGGACAGTTGTTTAAAAGGCTGTCTCTTGTATGTTGCCCTAGCTCACGATTCAAAAACTGCTGGGTAAGACTATGGCCTGTGCAATGCACAAGAGCATATTAGCATTAGCGTTTGTAATAGACTTCAGTAGAAAAAAACATTTTTAGGATCGGCATTCTAACTTTTTCACATGCATATTATGAAGTATCTACCTTTCTGTAAGCCCGATGAATCCTTTAAAATACATGGTACGTAGTTATGGGAGCTAATGAGTTTGATTTTGCTGCAGTCTTCATTCCTGTCTTTGCTGTGGTAACATGCATTATGGAAGGAAAAAATTGCTTTTATTTTGTTAAAATATTTTTTGAAAATCTTTGGAATAAGGCTATTTTTAAGATGATCTGTAACATCATTGTAACCAAAAAGTTTGTTTGGATTAATAGGAAGAAATATGAGCACCAGAAAAGTGTTCTGTTTTTTAAGAGTTTGTTTAAAGGGAAAAATGTGAAACTCAGGCAAAACAGAAGTTAGCTGGAGAGAGATGACACATTTTGATTATTTTTTTTTTTATCCTCGTGGACTGAAGTAAACGAGAATAAGAAGCCCTTATTTTGGACTCAGGTATCATACATAGAGATGTTCAGAGCTTGTTCTGTGTGTTGATAAGCTCGAAATGTGCTCAGGATTAGTCTAACATCTCACCACCCACAATAATGTCTGTCCGCCTCTAAAGCTTAGTTACGAGCCATCTGAGGTGATGTCAAGATTGTGTTTGTTCTACACAGCTAATATGCAAGAAATACAAAATGCCCGTGGTTGCTGTTTTTTACTTTCTCAGCCTTTTTGGTGAAGTTAACTGTGCCAGTGTATAACCAGGCATAGCTGATGATAAGAGCTGGTTGGTTTGGGGAGGTAAGGTCCGCTTAATCCCCAGAAAGGGTGTGACTTTCTTAGCCAGCTCCCCATTCTAGCTAGCACAACGGTTTGTAGGCTTTTTTAGATTTGCAGACAAAAATCTTTCCAGGAAATATGTGAATCTATCTAGTAAATGTAAGCCTATTAAAAGAAAAAGGTAGCTCCAAGCCCTTCTGAAAGGATTCACAGAGGCACTGGATATTCATAGACTATGCCTGAAAGCACAAGGACAGTGGCAAGTGTTGCAATCACAAAAGGTTTAAAACAGTTAAATTTTGTACTTCTGACCTTCTGTGTTTGTCACAGTCAGTACCAAAACTTACTCTGAAGTAGCAGTACAGTGTTGATACATCAAGGCAAGTAGTTTTTGTGCTGCTATTTTATCCTCCTGTATTGATGATGGTATCAGCAAGCATGTCAGAGCATATGGCTCCTGAGAAAAGTGGGTAATATTTCTGTTGTTCCTGTCTACAAATCATAGTGTTTAAATACAGGCACAGAATACGAAGAATTACACTTATTTGTATAGGATTTAAGAATATTAAATGAGATACTGAACGATAATTTGTATCCCCTTTTCTGTGTATCAGTGGAGCACTGAAGAAATAAAAACTAAAAAAAAAAAATACCCACCATCTTTATAGCTTTCTGTGGTATATTCCATTCTGTGAGATTCTGCGGAAGAGGATCTTTGATCACTAAAACCAGAAGGGGCTTATCTCTTTCAATGTATAATGAAATGCAAATAGAATTATGTAAGTCTGTTTTGACACTAAACAGACCAAACGTAGCCCTCTGATAAGATTGAAATTTGTTGGGGGTTTTTGACTTACTATGTCAGAAAATATATCTGATGTTTAAAAGCTGACATGCATTAGCAGTGCAGAGATGTAACCAGTATGTGGTGCTGTTAATACTTATATTGGCTAAGAATGAGACTTCCTAGCAGTCTTTTGATAACTGTATTAAAAAAGATACCATTGTGAAAAGAGCTGATGTGAACTTAGAGTGATATGATTCTCTCCTCACTTTTGGGAACAGGTCCCATTGGAAGAAGGTTTGAATAAAGCAATTCATTACTTCCGTAAAGAACTTGAGTATCAGGCGAACAATCAGTATATTCCCAAACCAAAACCCGCAAGGATGAAAAAAGGAAGAACAAGACATAACTGAAGACTATTAGTTGGACAGGAAATTCCCTGCTTGATATTTGATGGATGTAATTTTTTTTTCCTTCTTTTTTTTGAGAGAGACTTTGAAACAGGTATCATGAAGAACAAACTGGAATTTCATTCTGAAGCTTGCTTTAAAGAAGTGGATGTGCCTAAAAATAACATACAAATATTCCCCTTCCCCTGCAAATCTTGCCTTGCACTTTTTAAATCTGTCTTTTTATGTAAAATAGAGTAGAAGCATCTTTTAGTATCTTCAAGTTTTATATCTTGCTGTGAGATCATTTTGTTGTGACTGTCCTTGACAGTTTTATTTACTGGTTTCTTTGTGAAGCTGAAGATAAACACAAACGGGATGGAAAATGCCAATTTATTTATAAAATGGGTACTATAAAATATGAGATGTTCTACTATGCATAAGAAAAAAGCTAGTGGTATTGTCAGATGACACTGGCATCTAAGTATAGAGGAGTTTAAAAGAATTCTGTAAGAGAGCTTTATGTATTCTTTAAAGGAGAGATTTTTTCAAAGGTTTAGTTTTAGTTGTACACTTGAATTTGAGATATTTTCATTGATTACCATGGATAAGGATATTTTGAATCACTACTGTGTTGTGCGTACTCTGGGAATAAAGTTAATGTATTATTGGTTACAGTGGTTGAATATGCTATTTTAATAAAATATTGAAACTTCTATTTACTAGTTTCAGGGTTTCACTGTGGGCACTTCTCTGGCATTACACGTCTGTGCATTTATTGTATATTAATTAGAAAGTAACGGTCTATAAATAATTGGGTCTAAGTTAATAACATTGGTCTTTCGTTGCTTGTCTCTTAACAGATATATTGGAAGGGCTGCAGGGTGTCTGTTGAAATAGATCGGACAAAAACATCGTGATTTATTCCAGTTCAGGTGGTTGATAGTGATGCAGGAGTATAAGATTTTCTTTAAACCATAGAGTCTAACTTCAGCCTCCCTAACGGAGGAAATGTTTCTGTTTTAAGCAGTTATTGGATTGCCAGTAAATGCTTTCAATTTTGGTAACTATGCCTGTCATCTTAGTAAAAAAAAAACAACCAACCAACCAACCAAACAAACAAATCCAATTCCCTTCATTTTTAATAGTTCCCCTTTATTTTTAATACCTAAGACTGGATACCTAGGAGGGGAGATTGGCAGAAAGTTTTCAAAAGGTATTTTGGCTTAGTGCCACTCAAAATTGAAAATCCTAAACCTCGTCAAGCAAAGTGACTTGACTTTATCTGACTGAAGCTTGATATTTCATTAGCTTTCAAGTATCTTTAACTTGATGGTCAAAGTGGGAGTTACCTGTAGCAATGACTTGCCGCCCGGACCCAGGGAGGACTCCAGGAGCAGGATGCTGTTTAGGTCCCTTTGTCCAAGCGTGCCATCCGCCAGAGCCTCCCGGTGCTTGCAGGGCTTGGAATCGCATCCAGTCTGTCTGGTAAAGCTCCCTAGGACTCCAGCAATGATGGGGCTGCTGTGTTCGCTTGTGTGCCCTGTCTGGACTGGGGCTGCAGTGATCCTTTTAAGACAAAACGGTTTCTTCCCTGCTCACACACACAGGTTTTCTTCCAGTGGAAATCTGCCACACAGCTAAGATGGGGAGCCAGGAACCATTTTGCTGTCTGGACTCAGAGGTAGAATTTAGGTGTTATACATTGCCTCCATCTTTTCACAGTTGAGCAGCTTGAGGTCTGCTGTTTGTTTGACGCCTTTTTCTAGGTACTTGATCTGGGCATTTATACCTTATTAAATTGCCTGAAAAGTACACCGTGGTGCGTGTGCTCCAGATGTGCCTGTAACCTGTCATTACTGATAGGCTCACAAAGCACAACCTCTCCCTATACTCAAAACCATAGGTGGATGTATGGGAAAGTAGTGCCCACTTCTTTAATAGTTCTGTGGTGAGAACTGTTAAGCAGCTCCCAGCATGGTGTTTTTAACCCTTAAGCTCTAGATTCCATTTGGGGAAGGTGCTCTTTTCTCCTTATATTTTACTCCTCGTGCAAACTGTGCTGTTGGATGCCAAAGCATCTGTAAAGAGGTGGTGCACAAGGGTGCAACCCTAGTCCAGCATTTAGAGCAGCCGTTGAGAATAAACGGGAGCTGTGGGTACCAGCTGTTACTTCCAGGACTGTTTTTCATTTCATCCAATGACATCAGTGCAAAATACGTAAACTATACTGAAACAAGCGTGCTTCTGGAGACTAGCACTAAATATGCATTTTCCAAAAAAAAAAAAAAAAAAAATCCCGCAGGAAGTCTGAACATTTGGATACTACAGATATGAACTTAAAAGCTTTTTAGGTTACTTCACAGCCTGACCTCCTTCATAAAAGGAGCAAATCAGAGAGAGGGCAAATGGCTGGTACCGATACAACCCATCTGTGAGTATGTGGCATGCCTCCCATTGGGCCTGAGTGACAGACTGTATTGATTTGCTGCTTTCCTTATACTGTTTCTAGCTTTTGTTTCAGAGGTTCCTGGTTCGGTTCCCATATTCTTTCTAAATAGTGTCTTCCATAAACAGCAGCCGAGGCAGCTGTTGCCCTTTGTGTTTGAAGCCGGTGACTGGCCTTCTAGCTGATTTGAAAGACGTGAATCGTGGGTGTTAAAACAGAGCCTGCTGGTGCTTAAGACTGAAAGTCTGAGGTAATTTCAAGTTTGGTCTGGTCTGAGCTGAGGGTTCAAGAACACAGATGAGGGTTTGCATGTTGGTGCTCTCTGCTCCCATCTGGGGTTACACATCTCCGAAGGAGAAAGAAGGCATCAAGTTTGCAGGGAAACACAGGTGAGAAACAGCTGCTGCCTCTCCAAAAGAGCCACTTTTGATGGAGGATGGTGGAATACAGTACTGAAAGCTTGGAAACATGGGACTCTGGAGTAAATGAAGCCAAGCCGTATTCTCATTTCCGTGCCTGAACACAAAGTATTGGTTTGTTTGGGTTTTTTTTCAGGAAATTTGAGAATTGGGATTTTCTGCTGTCACCTGGTCAGGCAGACAAGGTAAAACTGACATGACCAGGCTTGAGGTGCCTATTCAGTCACAGTGATGTGCATGAACAGGCAGCTCAAGCAGTGTTAGATGCAAGTCCTCCTCTCTCAGTAGGGAATATGCAGTGTAGCGGAGGTCTGTGATGAACTGGCCAGCTTGGTGCTAGCAAGTGAGGTAAGTCTTCTAGAAGAAGAGGTGTGCAAGGCATCCACTGCTGTGGATTCCTTGAACCTTGCAAGGAGGACCACTCTTGCTGCTGGAAGTTACCACAGTGTGAGGTCCACAGTTGGATTTTATTTTTTTTTTTTAAAACATGATGTACTTTTGCTTTATTTCTCTATGTAGGCTGCTTGGAAGCTTTGTAAACCACATTGCTGCTCTACAGACAAGCTACAGTGGGGCTTGCAGACCTAATTTATTTTTAGTTCCATTAATGTATAGTCTAGAGAAGCCTCATTTCTATTTTTAGGTTAGATTTTTTGCTATGTGGGGAAATCATGATCTGAGAGTCTTCCTGTGTCTGGGGTGTTTGCAGTTTCTCTAACCTCTATCGACTCTGGAGAGTTTAACAGCCATTGAACTCACCACCCTCTGGGCATTTATGAATGTCTCTCAGTCGTCTATTTGTTCAAGGAGCTTTTAGAAATGTAGTATATTTGAAAAAACTTTCACTTCTGTCAGGTAGGGTTGGAATTGAGTTTCAAAGTTGAGAGAAAGAGGTAAGGAGGGGGGAAGACACGAACACGATTGCATAAATTCGTTAGCCTTAGAGACAGGCTACAGAGGGACACAGGGCTTTGATTAGGTGATGGATTGAGCTAGTCCACAGGCTTATATTAGTATTGAGTTTAATGCTACTTGAGGCCAAGAATTCCTTGAAGGTTGTTAGAGGCTGATCAGAGAGGACTTGCCCATAGGACCAAGATGCTTTGCTAATAGCAAGGGAAGTGTGTACTCAACATCGCTGGCCCTAACATCCATACATCCCCTCCCTGAAATCAGGGGGAATGTAGCCACCACAAATCCGTAGTTGCTCTGCTGTGAGCATTTTGCTGTGCTTGGATCACAAGTGGCAGGAGAAGGGAATCCCTTACTTGCAGCTCTGACTCCCTGGAGCTACCAGGAACAGCAGCAATAGGTCTGGACAAAAGCAGGGCTCCTTTTGTATGGCAGAAGGTTTCTCAATGTGATTCCATATCAACAGGGAGGTTTTTCTGAAATAACAATTCATATTTCTTGTAAAAAACAGACTCTTGTTCTCTATTCCTTTTCACAGTCCCTTCCCTTCTCTCACTTGCCTATTCCATAATAGCAAACATGGCAACAACTCTTGTCCGCCTTGTTTTGTTGCCATTTACAGCCTGGAACAAGCCACATTCATGGCTGGTTCATTCTTGCAATGTTTTCCTGAGTTTCTGACATGTTCTTCAGCAAGGAGGGGATCCTCTGAAAGCCTTGGTCCATGCCATGGCTGAAGCAGCTGGAAGGTCCAGAACATGAAGCTACAGGGAACTGTGGGGTGGCCTTAAGTACCACAGTCTGAGCTCTGTCCACCCCACTGCAGAGAAGGCTGTTTTGAGCAAGGAAACCTGCACCTTCCATCTGGGAAACAGTCCTGGGGTAAAAGTGCCCAATCCCCCATTCCAACATGTTTCTGTTACAAGTAGGAACTTAAAGGGAATGAAGGCCCCCCAAAAATAATAAAATAAATATATATTTAAGACTGCTGATGAAGACACTTGATCTGGAGAGAGAGATCTCTGTCTAGACTTGGGGGGGAGTGTGTGATAGCGGCTGCGGGGGCACAGCAGCAGTACTTCTGTGCTTTGACAGAAAGGTTACCTTAGGGGCATTATCAGCAAAGGAGGCAGGGCTGCCCTGTCAGTCTGACTGACGGACTTGCCTGGCTGACACCCGCAAACTGGGGGATGCGGCAGCATCGGGTCTTGAAACATGAAGTGCTGGGCCATGGCCAAGCTGCTCCTGTTCTGTAGGGAGCCACAATGAACAATGGCTGCTCTTCTGTCTTGGTGGGGAGGTTACGTGATGTCAGCGCCGGGATGGCTGGGGATGATGACGATGGGAAGCGCTCTGTGCTGTCTGCACAGCAGAATGGAAAGGCTGGGAGGGGATGCACAGTTTTGTCCGTGTTTTGGGACAGAAATAGTCAAAGGAAATAATTAACTTTGTGCATGTAGTTAACTTTGAAGCACTCTGTGCATATTTGACAAACAATTTTTTTTTTTTTAAATAGTTTTCCTCCTTTTGCCCAAACCTGTGATGGCTCATACCTGCTTGCTTTCTTTGTAGCTTATTGCATGTACTTTGGCATCATTGCAACTGCTGCACTTCAAGTCAGGTGGACCCCTCTGCAGGAAGGAAGGTGCCCTCCCCACAGAGCTATTGCTTTGTACTGGGTTGACCCCAGCCAGGAGCTAAGTACCCTCCCAGCCGCTCACTCCCCCCTGCCCCAGTGGGACAGGGGAGAAAATAGGAAGAGCAAAAGTGAGCAAACTTGAGGGCTGAGATAAGAGCAGTTTAATAAGTGAAGGAAAGAAGGAAAAAAAAACAGGTGGGGCAAAGGCCACTCACCATCTCCCCTAAGCAAGGCTGATGCCCAGCCAGTTGCTGAGCAATGGCTACCCTGGAAGATAAAACACCCACCCCCTTCTTCCTCTTCCCAGCTTTTATTGCGGAGCAAGAAGTTACGTGGTATGGAATATTGGTCAGCTGGGGTCAGCTGTCCCACCTGTGTCCCGTCCCAGCTTCCTACCCGCCCCTAGCCTACCTGCTGAGGGGGTAGCATGGGCAACAGGGAAGACCTTGATGCTTTGCAAGCACTGTTCAGCAGCAGTGAAAACATCGGTATGTTATCAACGCTGTTTGTTTTAGTCACAAATCTAAAACACAGCACCATACCTGTTGTTAGGAAGAAAGTTAACTTTGTCCCAGCCAGACCCCAGTACACAGTGGAAAACTTCAGCATGCAGCGCCGTGTAATCAGAAAGATTTACTTTTTTTCTCTTAGAGAATCCACAAGAGAGAGATCGTAGACTTTGTTGTGAGCCTGCAAGGCAGCAAGCTGCTGGCCTGAGTCAGCCTGCAGGAATGGGCACAGCTTACAAAGGCCTGAGGAGTGATGGTATTTATTTACAGCACTTTTTTTGTTCTTACTTATTCAGCAGGTCTGAATTCCCAGTTGTTGTAAATTCTGGGAAATGTTGGAAATGATCGGCATGGTTCAAACATCGCCAAATTCTGTGCACTTTTTTGATAGGACACAAAATGGAAGTATTCTTCTAGGAATAGGTATTTTCCAACTGTGCAAAAGAGTGTGTGCTTGACTCAGAATATGATTATTCCGTATTTGGAATAAAGGGTCTTCTACCGAGGAAACACACCAGTTTAAACCGATTAAACTGGCAAGGATTCTGCTAAGAGCGAGCGCTCCAAAACCTAGGGGAAGGCTGAGTTTTTGGAGCATGTTAGGCTAGCGCCTATCTGTGCACGCAGAGAAGTGACTAACATGTTTGTTCAATTTGGCTCCCTCGGCAAAAAGCTGGCTCCGTGGAAGCGTTCCTGCAGGGAGCGGAATAGTGCTGGGCTGCCTCTCCTGGACACCAGTCCGTCACACAACAGGGGCTTTAAGTGAAAGATCAGGAAATACACCCAGTGTTAAGAAAGAAGTAAGTAAGTGAAGTGTAAAGAATGGTCTCGCCATGATCCATGCTTTGGAAACTTCTTGTAAGCTTGAGATGACGGACAGCTAAAGCATCCATGCCGTCTTTCTTCTCCGACTCTGCTGTACTTTGCAGTACATGTTTCATCTCTCTTTATCCTTATGCTTCAGCTCCAGAAGTCACGGAGCCAGCCAGCCTTCCTCACCTGCCCCTTCCCAGTCCTCTACGCTTGTCAAGTTTCAGCAGTGCTTTCCCCCACCAAGTTCCTCCTGAAGCCCCTGGCAGCTGAAATCTCCCTCCTAGGCTTAGGTCTGCATCAGGACTTTCTCTACAGTAACAAGAGAGGAGCAGCAAGGTGGCTGATGTTGCTGTGGTAGGAAAGTTGATTGTATTTCAGCGTTCTTAACACACACAACCCCATCAACCAATCCCCCTTGAATCCACTATACTTTATTAACAAATGCCCAGTCTATGATATATTTTGATGCTCAACCTAATGTGTATAGCTTCCAGTTTAAATTGGGGAGAGAGGCAACTTCATGGTAGGAAATTATGTCTGGGGCCTGTGTTGGATGCTATCTGACACTAACTTCATTTTAAATAGCTTATGTTGTTATTTTATTCCCTGTTTTGAGCTAGACTGAAAGCTTGCACTGGAAAGGACACAAAAGGGAGTATTCATCAAAGATAACCTTTGGGTTATCGTGCCTGGGGAGGGTAGGGGCCACTCAGGTTGGATGCTCTGCGTCTCAGGGATTACTTCTGAAGTCAGGTTCCTGTATCGAGCCCTTTCCCTGGAGAATCCTTTCCTTTCACAGGCTCCTCTGCACTGAATTTAGCTTTTGGGAACATCCGTGCCCTTGTCCCGACAGAACTGTTGTGCCGTATCACGCAAGTTTGGAGGGCTGTGCACAGTAGGTATGGAAACAGCAGAGGAGGCAACAAGGCAGCATTTCAATTGAGAGGAATGGGTTTTTTGTTTTCTTTTTCCCCCAAGAATAATTGGATTTATTTGTTGACACAAATCTGAATGAGCAGGCACATCTGAAATGTATTGGCTTATATTATTAATTCTATATGCCAAACTAGATGATATAATGTAATTTTGCAATTAATTGTAGGAAAGCAAATGAAAAAGCCCTTTAAAAAGGAATCTGTAGTAACACAATTGGAATGAAATTTGTTGTTACAAACTCTACTAAATAATGGCAGCCTGTTTATCAAAAAAGCTTTATTTCTATAACACTTTATATATAGTGTACTACTAAGTAACGATAATTAAAATAAAAGTCATGTTGCTTTCTTCAAAGTCTGGCTGTTCTTTTACTCTTGCTGTTTTACATGAATAGGAGGAAAGCGGGGTCGTTCTGACTGAGGGAGGACTCAGCCTCGCCCAGTGCAGCCCTATGCTCTAGTAGGGTAAATGGCATCAGTAATCGTCATAGTTGACACCTGCTCCGTGCCTGAAGGTGTGCGGATTTCGTGGGCCAAGTGGTGAATCTTCATCGTAGTGGTGTTGGTAGTATCCACCGTAGTATTCATTACGAGCACGCCCTAAGCTTGTCCAGTAGGAGATGTCATCTTCAAATTTCTGCCAAGAAAAGAAAATACTTCCTTTCCAAGCCTGAAACTTTACAACAAAGAGTGAAACAGAAGTGGTGCAAGGGGTTCCTTTCATCTCTTTCAGAAATTCAGATCCTTTGCGTATTTGTCAAAACGAAATCTATAGATGTAAGGGGGTTTGTGACTTACACCTACCTTCTCTATGGGATTATCAGGGCCCCGAGTGCAGGACTTGTCCTGCCCAGCCCCACCTGGGACCCCCACAGCCTCTGCCTACTGTAAAGTGCTTAAAATGAGAGCGCCTTCAACTGAAACATCCACTGAGCACCTTTAATATTTATATTACCTTTTCAGTGGCAGACTAGAAAACTTTTCAATGTTTTGTACTTAAAAATCTAAAGGTTTGGTTCTCCGTTACCCCGTGCCTTTAGTCACAATGTCCCTGACTGCAAAGTGGATGCAACAGGCTTTCGCTTTATGCCCGTGATCTTTCCACTCCCATTTTGCATGGGTAAAAATGAACGTACAGTGCAGCCTTCTAGCTATGGAAATGCAATAAGCAGTTCAATTTTGCTCACAACAGCAGAGGAAAAAGAGCGTGCAAGGATATCAAATACTTGCCAAGCCAAAGCCTTTCCATCTGAATGACTCTTTGGAAATATTTTTGGCTGAGACTTGAAAAAAAAGTTTTGCAAAATACACAATGGGTAAGTATGGCCCAAGTCCTTTGCTGGAACAAACAGTTATTTCATTGTTAAAACTGTGTCTTAATGCTCAAGAAAACCTACTAAGTGGATTCATTGTATCCCACAACAGGCCTCATTTCAGCTTTTGAAATGCACACAGGAACTCGGAGGAGAATTCATCTTACCTTCATGGTGTGGCCTTGTTACTTACTTCTTGGTATTTGCCCCCAGTCTCCAGTTTCTCGTACATAAAACCACTTTTCATATTTTTCCTATTCCTATTTGGGGAGGGGGATATACCCATGCTGTTAAAAAGTCGCTTTTATCTGCATAATGTCCAGGAGGACACAAAAAAATGTATCCTTCATTATTTCAGTCCAAGCAAAGGATTATTTTTCTAATTGTTCCAGCTTTGAAAATGAGCACATTCATCTTCTAAGCAATCCACATAGCAGGAAGGTCCAAAACGTACTCCAGCTTGCCTGTGCCAATGCAGTCTCATTAAACGTATTCATGCAGCTGACAGAAGCCAAGAATTCAACATCTATAACTATTTTTACCTTTTATTAACATAGAAATTATTCTACATGTGGGAATGCAACTAAATGCACATTTTTCAGCCTATTTCAGCATCTATTTAGTACAGCTTTGTGCAGAGCCAGGAACTCTTGATTCCACTCCAGTGTTTTTACAAATTAACTATTTTTTAAAAAAATGTACCCTTGTCATTTGAAGGGAGGTTGGCTGCACATTAGCAAATGGTTTTCCTTTCACGTTTAGAGTCGAGGCACGGCTGCCAGTGCTCGCAATGGTCAGGAGCTGCCTGCACCGTGGAGGCACATGGGTGCCTTAGGTACATAATTTCATTGAGGAATGCCAATCATGACCAGCTTGGTGTGGATTTCTCTGTGCGTTAAAAAGCAAATTGATTAGGTTGAGGCTGCCAAATAGGATTGATTGATTGCTTTGGGTCTGACCACCTATTTCTCAAAGCAAACTTTGTCTGGTTGCAAGTTGTTAAGCTTAAGTTCAGTAGCAGGCAAGAACTCCACGCAAGATTTTAACGTCATTTTTCTCTATTAACAAAACAATGCAGAAATCTCTAGCAAATACAGAGCTTATATTTCTGTGCAATATTTGCTACTTTAAAAAAAGAAACCACAGCGCCTGTGAACAGAAACAGGGCAGCTTCTCCCTGGGTGCCCCCGCGCAGCCGCTCACTCTGAAGCCCTACCAAGTCTGGGAAGCCTTACACTCACCGCCTCATCGAATCCCAGGTACAGGAACTGCTGGTACCACTGCTGTACGTCGGGCTGGCTTCTGTCCCACAGCTGGCGCCTCTGGCGTCTCAGGCTGCTTAGGAACTCCTTGGCCGCCGTTTCCTTCACTGACACCTCGGGCTTCATGGCAACAGGGGCTGAAATTCATTCCCCCCCCAAAAGGCAGGCCAGGAAATTTTTGGTCAGCCTGAAGCGTACTGCTTGCAGCAAGTAAGAAAACGCTTCTCGCACCGTGCCGGCGCCTTTGTGCTCGGCCGCACGACGCGTGTCGCAGCGGTAACTAATAAACCCAGGAATCGTCGATGTAATAGGATTTCTCAGCTACCCTCATGCTCTTGGCTTTGATAAAAGCTGTTCTGAGCTCAAAGACATAAGCTAAGTAAGGAATTTAAATAAATAAACCCAAACTGAAACAGCATGCACTGTGTTGTGTTTTGAGGAGAGACCAGGAGGCTGGCCTCTCTGTGCTGCTGTTACAGGTACAGCAAAGAAGATAAGAGGTGAAGTTAAAAAGCCTGAAGAAGCTGGAGAAACACTGCTAACTTGTTAGGGTGAAGGGAGGCACATATAAAAAGATAGATTTTTGAATCTGTTGTGTAAAAACATAGCTTTTAAATAATGAGTGCTGCTAAATGCCCTGTATGCCTGAAAATAAAAGCCCACCAGGCTTTCATAGCACACTGCTTGGTGGATGCACGGGAATGCCCTCAGCCTGCCAGACCCAGACGTGCCATCTGGCCTGCCCCGTGCCCAGGAGGCAGGCAGCTTGCTGCAGCTGCTAGAGGAATTTATGTACCTCAGAAAGGTATGGGGGTGAGGACTGGCTAGCCCCCTGCCACGCCTGGAAATGGTAAAACGTGGTCTGGTGTTCGGTCTTCCCGTGAAACAAGAAGCATGTGTAGGAGTAGGAGGAATGTCTTGGCTTCAGAGGGTTCATCGCAATGAGGGAGAGACCAGGAACATAGAATCATAGAATCATAGAATCATCAAGGTTGGAAAAGACCCTTAAGATCATCGAGTCCAACCGTCAACCTATCACTGCCAAGTCCATCTATACCATGTCTTCAAGCACCGTATCTATCCGTTCTTTAAATACATCTAGGGATGGAGACTCAACCACTTCCCTGGGTAGCCTGTTCCAATGCTTGACCACCCTTTCGGTGAAGAAGTTTTTCCTAATGTCTAACCTAAACCTCCCCTGGCACAGCTTGAGGCCGTTTCCTCTCATCCTATCACTCGTTACTAGGGAGAAGAGGCCGACCCCCACCTCGCTACAACCTCCTTTCAGGTAGTTGTAGAGGGCAATAAGGTCTCCCCTCAGCCTCCTCTTCTCCAGACTAAACAACCCCAGTTCCCTCAGCCGCTCCTCATAAGACATGTGCTCTAGACCCTTCACCAACTTTGTTGCCCTTCTCTGGACACGCTCCAGCACCTCCATGTCCTTCTTGTGGTAAGGGGCCCAAAACTGAACACAGTACTCGAGGTGCGGCCTCACCAGTGCCGAGTACAGGGGCACTATCACCTCCCTGGTCCTGCTGGCCACGCTATTCTTGATACAGGCCAGGATGCCATTGCCCTGGATGTGGATGGGGATTTTTGGAGGATGCGAGGGAAGAGGCTAGGGCAGAAGGAGAAGTCGGGTGGAGATGTGAAAACCACTGAACCAGGAGCTAGGCAGACTCACAGGGGAAGGCAAAGGACTGCAGCGGGAAGGAGATTCAAGGGGCAAAAACGATAGCTGAGTTGTTGCAGGACGAGCGGGCACACGAGGGAGCGGGAAGCAGCAGGCTGCCCTGCGGTGATGAGCTGGAAACGTAACTCGCCACGTGCTCACGCTGGGTGTTATTACTGGGAAGCGGGAGAGCTGAACGAGTGTCAAGTGAGCGAGCCTCGCACAGGGGACACTGCCAGCAAGGGAACCGGTACTGTGTACGTAGCCTGCTCACTTACGCACAACTGGAGAAGGGGAATGAGGCTGGAATTAAGGAGCTGCGTGTTCCCTCCATCATCAGTTCAAGACTTTGCAGTTCTTCCTGGTCTAGGCTGCGTTGCCTCAAGAAGCCTCCCCGGGGCGGTCCCTCTCACGGGGGCAACAAGTGCAAACAAGCTGACTGCTGCTGGGGTGCGGGGAGGGCGGCTGTTGCAAGTGGTCACTCCTATCTGCATGCAAGCACTGCAGAACGGTAAGGCAGGGAACCCACGTGCAAGAAAAACAGCCGTGGATGTGGCACACATTTTAGGACTGGCAAGAGGTGGTGGGTGATGCCAGGAAAAACCCAGCAAGAAGTTAAGCAGGCTTGCAGAAAGTGAGAGTCCTCTCTGTGAGAGGGGTAAATTCTTTGCCTCAGCCATAGAGCAGGCTGAGGGGAGGCAACCAGAACTTCTGGGGTGTTTCAGCCTGGCCCCCATCTACTGCAGTGCTGCTTGTCCCTGGCCAGCTTCATTTCCATCCCTTTCCCTCAACTAGCGAGCCATTCGGTGCATCTGCCCGCTGGGCCCTTGGCCATCATCGCTCCTGTAGAGAGAGCAGTCTTCCAAGAAGGAAGCACACGTGGGGCCAAGAGGACAAAGGGAACAAGTGAAGGCATCGCGAGCAAGCCCGGTTTGCACATCTTCTTTTCTGCACCTGAGCCAGCAGTATTTCCATGCGTTATAATTCCTTGGAAAAGCTTGCGACTTCCCAGAATAGACCAGATAAACGCCACGTCTGCCATGCGTACACTGGAAAAGGTAGGCGCTATATGCCACATGGAGCGAAACGCAGGCGTACTGCCTGAGGCTGGGAACCCTGGTTTTCAGAGGGGGCTGTGATAAGCAAAGCCCCTGGCCTTGCCGGCACCGGGTGCCACACGGACGCGCAGGCGCAGGCTCCATGGGGCTGGCACCGTATGTGCAGGAGGTTTTGGTGCGGTACCTAGCGAGAGAGGCTGTGCCCTACCAGCTTTGACCGGAGCGCTCGTACGCCGCCCCTCTGCCTGCCCTCTTTGAGCTGGAGCGGGGGTGACAACGTGTTGGCAGCTTTGACCGACAGCAACCGACTCAAAGGAAAAATAAGGGGAAGCGCTTTGCTGGCTCTTTACTTACCTTCACGTTTCTGAAGCATCAGTTTAAGCTTATTTCCCCTTGAAACATCTAGACAAGTAAAAATAAAACACATACATTTACTAAAAAGGAAATAACAACAACAACCAAGATCCTATCTTGAAAAATACAGGAAGTATTTTTGTCGTAGCTCCAAGACCACCAGGCAAAACTCTGCAGCAAGTTCCTACCAGTGCCTCCCTTTGCTCCCGTTTCCATGCTTGAGCGCAACATATGCTACAGGGAAGCTTTTGACGCTCCAGCATCCTCTCCCCAGCTCTTCTGGGCAAGAAAACCCCCAAACTGGCCTTCTTTGCCAGTTAAATTACAATATTTTGCAGCAGAAGACCACAGCCAGTGCCAGTACTGTGACACAGGGTCCAGGGCGGCCTGATAACCCTGGAAAGCCCTTGTCACTGAGCGAGGGGCACGTTAACAACTGGACCACTTGAAATTTTTTCCTCGCAGCCTCTCCCGAAGCACGGCCAGTCTGTT